CTTAGGGACTAAGTGAAGCGCTATACAAATGCAGGCGATTTACCATTATTTGCAGCTATTTACATGTGTTCACACAAGATTAACCCTTTAAGACCTACCATAGAACCAAGGCCACCAGAGCTTACTTAATATTTTTACATGCTGTAGTGCCATTGTTGGGAGAATTTCAAGTTGCTATACATCAATACAACTGTTATAGCCCACAATTCAATAATATGTATGTATTAAGTCCATAGTAACTACATAAATTGCAAAAAAAGTGCAATAAACTACAAAAAATTGAAAAATCGTTTTTTGTTTTTTTTTTTTACATATATTTCTACTTGGAGAAATTTAAGAGGTTTATCCCTCAACACTTTAAATACAAAAAAGTTGCAAAAAATAGTTTACAACAACAGGAAATTTATTTTGAGTGTCTTCATAGTTTTATTTTTCAGATACACCAAATTTTATATACTGCAGAAAAAACGAAAAACAATCCTATGATGCAAATTTGCAAAGAAAAACAGCATGTGCATAAAAATAAACCATTTTAAACAGTGCAATTTGAGTTCTAAGCATCCCAGAAACTATTCAGAAAAGCATAAAGTCAAACATGACTTATAAAAACACCAGTATAGGCTTTTAATGCCTACAAGTAAAAAACTACATTTTCTGCAAAAATGACATCATTTCTGGTTTCGGGCAGGTAATGGCGGACATGCGATCGTTCGCGCTGACCTCTATTTCAATGTGGGAAGTGTTACGAACAGCTGATCGGATCGACAAAGTGTGTTTCTGGAATATTATGTTTGTGTTCCTGCAAGCGCTTTTTATGCAATTTTTCCAAAGCTATGTGTGGAAGGAAACCATGACCTAGGACAAGCTGATGGCATAAGATGTAAGTACAACTCCTCCGGTTTCATATGCAAAAAAAATTATTGCGCTACCTTACGTGGTTCCGGTTCTACAGGGATTTAAAAATAGTTACGCAAAATGGAGCATGCCCGCTACGACTGGCTTTAAAAGGTTAACCTGAGTGACCTGTTCCTCGACCGTTTCTTTCACAACTCCAAAAAATGCCAGGAAGTCTCTGGCAGTGTTGCTGGATCTGCTGAAGACAAATCACACATGGATGGAGTGCTGAAATTGTGACCTGCAGTTTGACAGGGTGGTCTGCAAAGAGAGCTTTAGGATGCTTCCTCCCACTGTCCACTGCAACGTCCATCTACAGGTTTGCAGGGCTGGCTCTATCGACGGCTGCAACACCACTAAGATGTCAGAGATATGCAAGCAGGAGATGGTGGATGCTATATTACTACTAGTATAATACTTGTGACTCTGTAGCAGACAACGGTTTGACAAAGTGCTATATGCCACCGGAAAACAGATTCCTACACAAATTTTCACTTGCCTGTTAACAGTAGTCGTGGTCTAGTTGCACCTCCTCCAGGGCTGACACCTCAGATGACAGTTGCTCCCGCCAAGGAGCACCACTAACTGCCTCCAAACCAGCCTTCCCCTCCCCATCCCACCATGGACTGCTACAGGAGGTGGAGGGAGCGGCCGCGGGTGGCTCATGATTACACCCGCCAGGCCCAGGCCAACGCCGGAGTTCAACTGAAAGGAGCCTGCGGTTATAGTGGAAGGGTATGATTTCATTTATTTTAAGGGATCCAAGCATTATTCTGATTATTATGCTTATGTAAAATATACTAATGTACTGTGACAATACTTATACTTTCATATATATACAGTTCATCTGTGTAACTAAGCATGTTTCTGAACTCTAAGGCAGCGGTCCCTAACCCCCGGGCCTCGGACCGGTACCGGTCCGTGAGTTGTTTGGTACTGGGCCGCGAGAGTTGAGGCTCAGGTGTGAAATGTATGGTTTTCAGAGTTTTTATTGGTTTTCAGCGTTATTTTGTTATCGTTTTTATCGTTAACTCGGTTTTCCTGGGTTCTTTCACGTGTGTTATGAATAAATCTTCTTTTTTTCGGTACCAGTACTAGTTTTATTTTGTTGTATTTATCCGCGACACCTTAAAGGCCGGTCTGGGAAAATATTGTCGGGCATAAACCAGTCCGTGGCACAAAAAAGGTTGCGGACCGCTGCTCTAAGGTACCCTGTTTTCAGCTTTGTGACATTTTTACTGCCATTCGAGGCACACAAATGAGTTACAGGATCCAATGCATCATCGTAAATGCATACTGCATGTTCTCATATCAGCTTCAGGGACATTTACTTTATATATTTCTTTATGATATGGTGAATGTGTACGAATGACTGGCTATCATTCAGTTATTGACATTATCCATTGAACTTAACAGTTGATTCTGTTCATTTGGACGTCGCATTTTCAGTGGGAGACACGTTTTGATCACTCATCCAAGTGACTTCTTCAGTCCCAGCTGATTGCTGGTTTCCCTGGCTGGGATAGCTAAGTAATTCCTAAATGTGTGTAGTTTAGGGTAGATTATTTTACCTGGATGTGACAGGCTCTGATGAGCCTAAGGTACCAAACATGCCAGCGACGTTGATATTGGTTTTGTAGCTCCTCTTGGATTAGAACAGTGCACAGGACACAGAGCAACATTTCCCGGTCCATTTTTCCGTTTTCGCACGTGGCGTTAGCGATCGGCAAACGTGGAATTGAGGGTGGATTCGAACAACGGCAGGTTGTCCACAGCCATGTTGTGACTCATTGTTTTTTTTTTTTATAAAGTTTTGATGGGGGGAAAAAAGGGGGCTGTCCACAGCCGCTCACTTCCTGACTAACCGTCCGTCTAAGGACACTTCCTACCTTCTGGCGTAGGTAGGTAGCGTCCTTATGAGCATCCTTCCCCTGAATTCAGACACAGCAAGCAACTATGACATCATGGACAGACAGAGGGAACACAGGGAAGTGGGACCAGGGCAGACACAGAACAGAAAGCTAATAAATGGCAAATCTAAACAAAAGACATAACCAGAATAAACAAGAACATAGAATATAATAAGGAAACACAAAACACTGAGTTGTCAGACTCAGAAACATGACAGTATTTTAAAGTAGTTTTTAGTTTTTTGGTTTCCCATGATGCACCTAGCATTTCTTCTTCAGTCATTATGTGTTATCACACACTGCAATTAAATATTAGTCATTATTTCTGACTCTCTTCCACAGCATCCATGTTTGCCCCTTTCTGGTTGTGCCTGAGGGTTCTTCCTGTTAAAGGGGAGTTTTTCCTTTCCACTGTCACTGAGCGCTTTTTCGTAGGGGATCGTTTCACTGTTGGAGTTTCCTCTGTATAGGTCTAATGTATTTACCTTACAATAATAATAATAATGCACCTGAAGAGACTATTGCTGTGATTCGGTGGTATATAAATAAAGCTGAATTGAACTGAACTGTCACTGATATTAAGCAGAAACACAAGAGACTCAGTGTCATAGCGTTACAGGGCAGAGACAGTCAGAGATTCAGATTGGGGACAATCTGTTTATGTAGGGAGCCTACAGACTGACAGCTGTCACCAGCTGGATGTCTGAACAAGTGAATCTGAGTTTACAATAACAGGAAGCTCCAGCTCTAGAAAAATCTGAAGCACTGAGAAGTGGAGAGAAAAGATGTTAGACATTAATTGGCTTTGACTTTAATTACTAATTACTAGCCCATTTGTATTTCTTTCTCTGTCTTATTTGTTATCTTAAACTTTTCATGCTTATATTATGTAAGCTGTGATTTATTATTTTGTCGAGTAGCAAACGATGCATGCATTCTTGACTTTTGAGCATGCTTTTTAAATAACGATGAGGACCTTTCTTATTCTCTTTAATGAGCTCCAGGGTGACAAATGCCAGCCAACACAATGCTGATGAGCTGATCGAGAGCAGGTGGAAATATGCTGCTGTAATTAGCGAGCGAGGGGGGTGGGGGGTGGTATCGGGGAAATTAAGGTGGGGTGGGATGGAACCAAAGTGTGACCCGGGGAATACTCGGCGCAGCAGTCTGCGTATGCACAGCCACACAGCATGAAGCATGTAGTTTGTAGGGGGTGTTTTAGTTTGGAAAAGCTGACATGAGGTCCAACAACACCTGCTCCTGTGTCTGACTTCCCTTCTTCCCCCTGCAGGGAAAACCTGTGCAAACACAGGGAGAACAAACCTGCCTGGGTTTTTAACCTGTGTGCCTTTTGTTCTGAGCCACTGTGCTACTTCTGAGATGCACAGCAGGAATAACAAGCAGGAACAACAACAGCCATTGTCTTCA